TTTTTTTTTTCTAAATTGTATGCATTCTTTGCAACTGAAGCTTGAAGAGCTGTAAGTCCATGGTCATTATGCCAATCGGCGTATTCTATCGCTCCGGGATCTGTTTCTTCAACATCGAATACACCTTCAAAATACGTCTCCTCATTTTGCCTCCGTAAAAAGTTATGCAAGTAGCAACAGGTTAACACAATTTTCGTGACTTTTTCTCGTGATAAATTAATAGTTTGTAGGAGACTTCTAAATCTTGATGCTAAAATGCYAAAACAGTTTTCAACAATTCTTCTCGCCCGAGARAGCGAGTAGTTAAAGCTGTAGTTAAACATTACTTCTTCTTCTTTTCGAATCCACTAATTGTAAAAATAAATTTCCAGTTTGTATGATTCAAGATGGTAGAAATTTACTTTTTATCAACAGCATAAAAGATAATTCTATAAGCATAATTGAAAATAGTATATGTAAATAAAATAACAGTAGTATAAATAATATATAGTATAATAAAATATATAAATTATTAATACAGCATTTTTTGTTTTTTTGTGTTTCTCTACCCTTATTCGCCAGAGGCAGTCGTGATGGTTTTATTGTGAACGTACACTTAAGAGCTGAGAACGTTTATAATAGAGAAGGTTCACGGCGTAAAAATCGTAAAAATATTTTTGGCTAACTCGGTCGAGATGGAGGAGTTTCACCACTGCCAGCTCGGCAGGAGAAATTTTAACATTTTCGTTTGAACAGAGCTGAACGTGAAATAATAAAATAAACAAAATTTTTAATTAAAATAGCAGCTCACCTAAACACAGCCAACTTTATGCAAATTTTCTTCAAATTCATGAGGATTTGACGAAATCATTTTGTATTTGTTGTTTATATATTGTATTGTAAGGTTTTTTATGTTCTTACTTCACTGTAAATATGAACACAGTAAAACTTAGTCGCATAGCTTATACTATGTTCAGACCGACACTTAATCACACGATTTGGGCTGTTGAACGGATTATCCCACTAATCTTAAAAATTTATCAAGATTTCGCCATACAAAAATGACAGTTCAAAATCACTTCATCAGAATGATTTGAAACTGATCCACGCTAAATCTGTCTGTGCGACTCTGCTTTTGCGTCATCTGTTAGTCAAATTTTGTTTAATCGCAGCTGATTTTGACACTATAAACTGTCAGAATTTAAAACTAACATACAAAGTATATAAAAAAGATAAAACCAAAAATCAACGTTGTTTACAAAAAAAATAAATAAAATATGGAAAAAACTCAAAAAAAGAAAGAGTGATGTGGAGGCCTCGGCAGACCTAATAGACTAAAAATGCCAGAGCAGCGATCAACGCGAAAAAATAATCATATATATGAGTAAATGTCTGCTACAATGCTTTTGGCTGGACACRAATATACATCCACAGAAATCAATATTAAATTACAAAATTTTACAAAGAAATACAGGTAAGTAATAAATTATGAGTTAAATATATAACATTAAATATTTTTTTTATTTTTAGACAAGAAAAGCAGAAAATTGGACCATCGGGTGGCTGCCCTAGTCGGTGGAAAGTATGAGGCGGTCCACCAAGCGCTAGGCGGTTTTTAAAGTTTTTATTCCGCCGAACTTGTGGAGGATAGTATTGATGGTAAGTTTTAAGCACATTGGAGTAGGTTCCAATATTAATAATAAAATAAAATACGTTTATGGAATGTTTCTTTACACTTTTATTTGTTTCTTCTATTTTCAGTTAACATGGATCCAATTTA